TGTTGTGTCATCAATCGAGTTTGCTTTTGTCAATAGCATCTCAAATGTGCATCATATGTAAAAATGAAAATTGGATAATGTTTTAGATTTGACGATCAAATAATCACAGTATATTTACATTAACAAATTCTTTAGTAATGTTTATCAAAATGAATAGATCATCTTGTTTGTTATTAGTCGATTTAGTTCTGTTCAAAAATGAATCAATGCCATCGAATATTTGTTTGATAATCTTCAATTTTGACGATTGTTTCATTGTGACAAAAATGGTGTATCATGGATGAGTGACATCTGGGTAGAGAATTGGAAATAAGTAAATATGTGAAATAATAATTAGATTTTCATCGGAAAACAAAATAAACATATGTTTTTCACTGATTTAATTAGAAAACGCTTTTATGCATTTGTTTAGTTTTTTCGAACAATTGTTGAAACTCGATAGTATTTTATAGTTTTATTTTTGTTTGATGATTTTTTTTGGACATTGTGGATTTCTCCAAACATGATTTGATTATCGAGCTCTTTAACTTTTCATATTTTCCATTGATAATTGATATCGTTTTCATCGCCTACAGCATCATCATTATTTATTGTTGATAGGTCTCTAAAAGTTTACGCTTCGTTCCTTAAACATGAAAGCTAATATATGTTGACGCTGCTTGAATGAGAAAGCTAAGATACGTTCTTGAGCGTGAAGTTGGCTATTATTTTCCATCAATGGCATTCAGTGTTGGTTTGAAGAAATCGTTATTTGAATGCATAAGGGGAATGTTCACTGTATATTTTTTGCATTTTATTATTGATAGGATCATAAAACACGACATGAAAAGACAGAGAAAGTCAGAATTTGTCTTTTAAAAACAAAAAAGCAAACCATGTTAAACGAAAAAAATTACTTTATCACCTAGCTAGGTACGATGTTATGCGAATTAGCTTGCGCTGATGTTTATCATATCGTTTATAAGCATAGTAAATTTAATATAACTCCACAGATGCAAATCTATGAGTACCTAAACTTTAGATTATTTTTCGTTTCGCAAATAAAGTTCATATTCCGCAGAACGTTCGCGTTTACGTTGAAGGAACACCAACGTGTGCTAGCGTTTACGTTCAAAGCAGACGCTAAAAAAGAATGCTGAACCAAATTATATTATTTTAAATGAACTAGTCAGAACTGCGATTTATTTTATTATTTTTATTTATGACAACAAACAAGATCATTTTAATCATTTAATATAACATAATCTGTTCAAGTCAAAGATTTTGTTAATTTTATTTCGATTTAGCTAAACTTTAGATAAATCAACATAACAGGAATATCCATGGTTAGTCCTGTCAGGGGATTTGGCTGCAAAACGAGAGAAATATGTGCCAATTCTTGTTAATTAATTAAAAGAATCAATTTTTCCTAATACAAACATACACATATGTGTACAAGTTAATTTTGAATTTCCAATATTTCGCTGACATTTCTTCTGATTCTTTTCAATTTGTCGATAATTTTGAAAACTTATCTTGGTTAAAGTTAAATTTCACTACTAATATAAATTATATTTTCTGAAAGACTTTCCACAAATAAACTGAAAAATCAATATCTTTTGACCTAGATCAATAAAATTTGAAGAAAAAAGTAGTTTTAATTCAATTTCTATGGAATAACAAATAAAAATTCTGCATCTTTCTGCATACAAACTATGCTAAATTTCTGTCTGTAGATGAAACTATAATCATTTTTATGTGCCACTATACAACAAAAATCGAGATATCTGTCAAGTATTTGTCCAATACGTCTGCGAAGGCGAACTTTTGAAATATTGCGCTCTAGCTCATTTTGTAGCCTGTGAAATTCCCTATGGAATGATATATAAAGTAGAGTGGTTAACGAGAAAATAAGTGGATATTATAAACATGAACGACGTTGATCTACCGGGTTTCTGTGACACTACCCAGTATTTGGAATCTTACACTACCCAGCTGCATTTTCCTCTCGCTGTCTTCTATATCATTTTTTAGTCCGTGAAATTCTCTATCGAATGTTATATAAAGTGGAGTGGTTAACGGGAAAATAGGTGGATATTACAACATAAAACTGATAATATCGAAGAATGTCAATCAAGAAAATATAATAAAATTCACCCAGATAACTATATTTGTGAACATGAAGAACGGTTAATATTATTGTATGCTGGTGTTCAAGAATTACATGAACAACATCAGTTAACATTAAATCAATTAGTTACAGAATTATATGAAACAAAAATGGAAAGTGATCAAGTTGTATTACTACATACCATGATCAATGACGAAATCGACAAAATTATTCTTGCTTTGACAAAACTCTTTTATTCAATGACCCATTTAATAAATGTTGTTATACTTTTAGGTATTGGTATTCATACAATACTTGAATTAGAAACAACAAACACATATAGAACATATTAAAATTAGACTAAAAAGAAGTTTTCGTTCCAGTTTTGGTATTTTTCAATGAGAAAGATAACATCCGGCTCTTGTTCAACAGAAAGACTCTTTTTACCATAAAGACTGCTATATCCTCAGATATTTTTATGAAGCATTTTACTAAAATATCTTCCCTTTTCTCATAACATCTTTTTCGACGTCCAGAGGTAGGGTTAATGACAATAAGGAAGGAGTCTAGCAAGTTAAAATGTAGTAGTTCTCTTGCTATATCTTCGGAAATATCAAGTAAATACTTTGTACGTTGGTTGAGCAATTTATCTGGTTGTGTTTGTCTACGATCTTTCTTCACAGTTATTTTAAATGTGATATGTAGACAAATTTCAATATGTTCATCCATTTGTTTAACATAGTTTATTAATTGTTTCATCTATTTGTGCTGTTCTCGTTTTTGTTCTTCAGTACATCGTTGTTCACATTCAAAAAGTTCAATTTTAACTTAATCTTATTCTAAACGATGTTTTCTTAATTCATCGTCAATTTCGTTCTTTTTCTTTTGAAATTGATCTAATTCTTTTTCAATTACACTTCTCATAGTTGGATTGTCATGTACGTTAGAAAAGTTTCTTTCATCTTCGGAACACTTTTCATTGACTTCTACTAACTAAATTTCGAAATTGTTACATTTTGAATCAATTTCAACCACTTTATTTTGAATTTTAATTAATTCAATTTCATTCAATTCTCATTCAGCAAATTTTAATTGATTTAGTTGTTGAAAATCTTCTAGATAAGAGACGGATAAATTTGTTAGTATCATTAATGATAATATTAATGTAATATATAATGAAAATAAATCATGAGTACCTGTTGAAATATTTATTATTGCACTTCGTCTTATTACTGAATCTGAACATATTTGAATAAGACGTTGTATGACACTAATAGAAGATTCAACAATATAATCAATATGCTTTTGTTTATCGAATAATGGTATGCTGTTCTTTTCATAAACAAATTCACAGAGGCCAATACGAGCTGTTGATTTAATCTCATCGATTATACCGAATTTCAACGGTTTTAATGTTGTATGTCTTGAAAGTGATATATCGAATACATTGTATTTTTTACATACTAGATGAATAACATTTGTACATTCGGATATCAATAAGCATAAAAGATCTTCTGGACGAAGTATTATTGGTAACAGAATCTTTTGTAAAAAAACTTTTAATTGGTTTTGAATTATTATTAACTTTTTACTAACCATTTTAATACACACATATACATTAAGCATATGAATATGAGTAAATATTTTCCAATTATTGATATTTTTAATTAATTTAGAAATCATCTTATAATTGGATAACATATCAACATCAGTTTTTAAAAGTTGATATCGAAATTGAGAATAAGCAATTAAAATATGATTTTTCAACATAAGACGCAGGAAAAAAGAAGCAAAATTTTTTTTTGACTTATGATACACAATTCGATAGAGTTTTTTGAACTGATCACGAATATGTAGTTTTCAATTTTTCGAAATATATCAGCTTGATATATTTTATTCGATAACAGGCGCATAAAATTTTATTTCAAAATGAGGTGGTTACTTGAGTACAACATCACATAATCTTAATTGTTGTTGTTGATGACAAACCGAAATACGTTTATTGTCATGTATTTTACACATAATATTTCATGTAAAACAAAAAAATGTACAGCTCTAATTGAGGTCAACATTCGAATTTATCCATGTCATCGCAGAGCTGTAAGATCAAACTGAACAGAAAAGAAAGTGTCAGAGTAAATAGACAGCGCTTCATCTCAAATGGTGATGAATACACTGTTCTGTAGTATCCGTTATCGGGCTGTAGGAGAGATTTTCACTTTTAATCTAATACATTCACGTTGAAGAAAATATTAAAACACTTATGAATCAATATAACACATTCTTCAGAAACACTAACTTAAAAAGACACGCATGTCAAAATTTCGAAAGGTTTTTTGCAGAAAACTGCAAAACTTCAGGTCCGTTGTTTTGCAACAACCTGTAGTAAAATTTTCGTGTCTCACGTAACATCACACGCATGAATTTTCTTCTGCGCTTTTTTGCAGAAACAAAAATTTTTGCGATAAAACGCAAGAAAATATCATCGTTTTTCATGCATAAAATATTACTCGTGTAGTTACCGTAAAGTTTCATGCGGTGTTCTGCAAACAGTATCACGGGCGGATCCATCGAACTCACCCATAGGCAATCCTCGACTCGCGGACCAGCCCCACAGTCACCCTCACCGCTCTCCTCGAAGCTAGGAGGGGTCACTTAGAGAAATCTCTAAGTAAATTTTCAGTGGAAAAGGACCGGTTGTATCAATATACCGCTGCAATATTCCGCTTTTTCGAATTATACACTAGTTACGATGACTCATCGTTTTTTTTGCATTGTTAAACCAAAAACATTTTTGCGAAAATTTTATTGAAAAAACACACGCAGTATAACGCAAAAAAAAGATTCTGAAAAAAAAGACACAACAGTATCGTTTTCTTGCTTATTTATTTTTGCAGGGTAAAAATACAGCGCAAGAAAACGCATATAAGAATCATGCGTTTTCTGGTGCTGCTCAAAAAGTGCCAAAAAACACACATTTCTGCAGAAATCGTGAAAAAAATTTGACATGGGTATGATGGTATTTATGAAATGTAGAATCGGTCATAGGCTAGAAAATGAGAGAAGTATATCAGACGCATGCTCCCCACTTTTAATACAATGGTAAAAGAAAGTGATGTCTAAGTTTCACTGCAATTAATTCTTTAGCTTTTTACATCGGACAATAATAACTTAGCTGATATGGACAAAAGAAAAAAATGTAATATAGAATCGAGTGACGGTTACATTTTTCTATTCTGGACTGCTAACAGTCCAGAATAGAAAAATGTAACCGTCACTCGATTCTATACTACATTTTTTTCTATGTGTAAGTTTTTCTAGTATTTTCGTTCTCCCCTGTTTCAACTAGTATATATATGCATTTCTCTTCTAAATTCACAGTCATATTAGCTTGATGATGATACTGTGAAGTATCGAAAGCTCGCTTTTTGTGTAAAATAATTTTACAAAAATGTTTTTCAATTATATTAAATATACTTAGTTTTATAAGAAACGTAAAAAAGTCAAAGAATGTCAATATATTGGACAAAAGAGATGGAACATTCGTGGATCGTTATGGAACATATTTATTTCAAGTATTGGAAAATTAATTCCATCAAAGATGATTGGTTTACTTTCGGGTTAGCGACGAAAACATCGGCTCAAATTATATTATACATATTATAATGAACTATACATACAACAAAACAATTATCTTCATATCATTAATCAAAAATTTAAGATGAATGAGGTAGTGGGTGGATACGATCATGTATTTGAATTAATATTTGGAAATGGCTTGTTATCACCTTTATACGCATCAGGTTTTGTTGCTAAAACTGGTCTATTAAAGCATTCGAAAAACCTACTTCTATTTGGGCGAGCAGGAACCGGAAAAAGTGTAATTGCTAGAACAATTAGTAAAGTTTTACGAATCATACGAGATTCGGGTGAGTGACCCATTACAGTAACGATAAACGGAAAGTGCCACTCCTGTTCCTAAAACAAATATAGAATAAAAATGAACAACTATTAGTTTGATCAAAGGAAAACCGTCATGAATTTAACAAATATTTGACATGAAAAATTACCTCGGTATTGTATATATCTATCACAAATCATTAATCATCTCTCTATCTCTCCATTTAGAAAGTAGAGAAAGTTCGTTTTAAAAATGAGACAAAATATTCATTGAATATCAGATGTATGCATTAAAATTAAAACTATTATTATCAAACTCCACGCTAGTTAGCAAATTCTTTCCTTTATTTCTTGAATAGTTTTACCAGATAAATGTGATCATATCCTGGCAGAATTTCTTAGCAATAGTTGATCATGACACAATTAGATTATGATACTATCATGCATTATTCAGTAAGTGGGAAGTACCACAGTGGTTAAAAGATAACTCGAGAGGAATTTCAGCACAATAAATAAAAAAATCTGACTTTCGCTTTCAAAGCTTCTAACAACTAAATTTTGATAGTAAGCGGAGACAGAATATTGCTCTCTCATGCGTTCACGATTGATGATTATGGCACTGCTCTCTGAAAATATTTTAAAAAAAAGAGTGAGCAAAAGAAAAGGATTATATATCAAAATTATATCAAAACTAACGTGCACTGTACACCTGAGTCATAAAATTTAAGCGTATAAAATAAAATGTACAAAAAAAAAAACAAATTACATTCATTTGTGCAATGAAACATAGTTATCATACATAAAAAGAACTTCAGCTCACGATCACACTTATCTAAGAAACGGCTCTGGCAAAATTGTTATCACCCAAGTAAAAGAATAGGCCGTGGAAAGAAAACTCAATAAAAAAGTACTAAAACAACGATCAATTTTTATGCACTATGTTGAGGACCAGATGACGCTGTAAAATCATCAAAAAACACGTATAAATGTTCAAAGGTAGGTCGATTATCGGCATTTGAATGCCAGCATCGTAGCATATATTCATAAATTTTCTCGGGGCAAGATTCACTACGTGGCATACGGTAACCACGTTGAATTTGATCTAAAACTTCACGATTTGCCATACCTGCAAGAGTTGCACAAGAGATCGAAACAGATGAAAAGAAACTAATCAATTGACATTAATATTTAGAAAAACAAAGGCTCAGTGTTACCTGGGTATGGTACTTGTCCACGTGTAACTAGTTCATAAAGCAAAATTCCATATGACCATACATCACTTTTAACAGTGAATTTTCCATAGATAGCTGCTTCAGGCTAAAAATATTCAAATATGATGTGATACGTCAAATAATATTAATCGTATAAACTTTTTAAAGTTAAAAATATAAATAAATACTACCGCTGTCCATTTCGTACAAAATTTAGCACCTGCTCCAGCCACATATGAATCTTCGTTGATGATTTTGGCTAGTCTAAAATTAGCAATTTTGCACACGTTATTATCTCCCACTAATACATTTCTCGCTGCTAGATCACGATGAATCTTAAAAAAAAGACCGTTTAAATTTAGAAAAAAAAGACACAAACATCATCTATTTACATAGTGTTCATGTTCAAGATATGCCATTCCAGCAGCAATCTGAAAAGTAAAACAAAACACAAGTGTTATATATTTTCTTCTATAGTAACCATCTCGTACCTGTGCCGCCATGTCAACTAAAGTCCGTAGTGGTAAATCACGAGCTAAACAATAGAAAGAAGGTCAGTCATTTTTAAGTCAGCATAAAATGAAAAATAAAACATTCGCCAACCGTTGCTATCACGTAAATAATCGAGTAAATTTCCATTTGACATAAATTCTGTGACTATATAAATGGGTTGATCATCGGGCTCGGTGCATACTGCATACAACTGAACTAATTTATCGTGGCGTAATTTTTTTATTATAACTGCTTCGTCAACGAATGTTTGCCTAGACACTGTACCTTCTTTTATCGTTTTTATAGCTACATCAATCGTTCGATTCCATTTACCTATAAATAGGTAAAAAGTAAACAAATATTATATAAAAATTAAAAATTAATTTTTCGATAGAACCATTTTTCGATAGAATACCACACAAATATTCATTTCAAACATGCTTTTCTAGTGAATCTTTGTTTATTATGAATGAATACAGTGCGAATTAAACTCTAATGTAGCACACTTACCTTCCCATACTTCTCCAAAATCTCCTTGCCCTAATTTTCTAATAAATTGTAAACTATTTCTTGGTACTTCCCAAATATCCTTTGATATTGTACATGTAGTCAGTGTTGGTCGAGGACAAGCAACAGTTAACTGACAACATAGACCATCGACATTTTCTGAAAAAAATAATACAATTAATCTGAATCACAAAGAAGACTATTACTAAGACTTTCGTACATCAAGAAAAGAACACAGTAGTTTGTGTTAGTTCATCCCTGTTTATGAGAAAAGAAAGGCGAACAAAGTAATGAGAAGACTCTTTCATCCCTTGAAGAGTATATTTAGTATATTACCAAGCTTTCTTAAGTTAATTCGATTGGTAAATTAGTATCGATATAAATAAACAAAAACTGTCGTAACATACCACTGTAATGTTTGACTAATTCTTCTAATGTTTTAAATATTCTTCTTGCTGCTATATAATAGCCTGTTTTGCGTCTAATGAACGTATGTTATAGTGTTTCACATGCGCATCACGTTGATCATCTAAATCACGGACGCTCAATGAATAAGGGCCTTGAATGAAACGAAAATAAACTTGTACAAATATAATTGCAAATAACAAACAAGAAAGTTATTAATTGAAAATGATAGTATGTCTGTTGGTACCTTTTCATCCGCATGGGTGTTTAAATTTAAATAATCAACTCAAAGACTTTCAGGAGACGAGAACAAACAAAATGTGTGTACATACCTGTGTGTGCATACATTTTTTCTGAATTTCTAACTAGAAAACATCCTCGTGGATTAATTGGATTTAACAATAGTCGTTCGGCTTCTCGTCTAATCACATTATTGTGAAACCAACTAAACACAAAGAAGAAACAACTGCTGAGAAAAGAAAAAGAAGTCAAAGACAAGGACTTACACATTGACATCTAATCCACCGTACGGCGCTACACAAACAGCTGGAATATAACCTTTCAAACCCGTTTGGCAATATTTTGCCGGCCAACGATCTTCTTGGCTAAACATGAAAATAAACACATAGAAACTCAAAAAGAAAACGTACTAATTCAATGCCGTACCTGTCATCGAACACAATAAGTATTTCTCCTACTCGAAACGTCAGCTCTACGTCTGTACGTGCATTGTAATCACAAATAGCTACGTAAGTTTTGCCTGAAAACACGGAAAACATTGTCAGAAGGGGCAAACTACGTTTATAACTGAATTAATATGAACTCAACTATACTAACGCAGCAATTACATTGCCACAAAACACCCTTTTTTCACCACAAATAGATATCCATGCACCTGCTATAGCCATTCACAACAAGATGTGAATTCGAAACAGACGCACAATCGTTTATCCAACAACAGAACAAAAACGAATTTCAACAGATTCTAACGGTGTCATTCCCGCATGAATATTTGCGTTTGAATGCGTCCAGATGTTTCAGTCTAGACACGTTCATACGCGTTTGAGATATGTAAAATTTATGAATTTATATATCTCTGAAAATAGTGCATTTTCATCGTTTTCTATAGAAAATATGAATATTGTTGTTTTTGAAAGTATTTTTGTCGATTAAAGCTAAAAGAAAAATTAAATTAGAACCTTAACTGGCAATTAACTAACGAAAAAGTTCAACTTTTCATAAACGCCTAAATCCATTTTGTCCAGGTACATTCCGTCTTGATGAAAATCTCAGACAATGTGTACCTTGAGGTAACTTAGTGATTCTAGTAATTTAAGCCTCTTATCACTTGTTTTCCCAGAGTTATCCTTAAATTAGTGATGAAAAAGTATGGTCTTGTACTTTCAAGCTTCCGCCGTCATTTATCGAGCTAGAAATTTCGAGTTGGTTTCAAAAAATAGATAAATGTTTTTTCTATGTCGTGACGTCGTTGGATTTTTCAATTTAACTTTGGTACAGGAGAAATTTAAACGATTTCCGAAAAGTCAATAAAATTTCTCTAACTTTTCAGAAACTTTTTAAGTTTCTTCTAAACTAAAAGTTAAATTGAAAAATCCAACGACATCACGACATAGAAAAAACATTTATCTATTTTTTGAAATCAATCCGAAACTTCTCGCTTGAAAAATGACTGAGATATCTTCGAAGTACTGTAACTGTCATAACTGTAGACAAATATTCTAGAGTGAGTTTGTTCTTCACCTGTGGTCTTTCTTCATTGCGTAAAACTTAACCTGCAAATTTATGGTGAAGTTATCGATTCTACAGTAAATAAGCAACCATTAACTTGAGATATCAAATATTTGCTTTAATTTAAATTTAATCTTCTAATTTCAGGAATTTCAAGAATCTGTGAATTTAAGCAACAAATATTTCATATTTGCTGGGGAGAGTGAGAGTGGGTGTAGAACCGATAACTTTACCATAAATTTCCAGGTTAAGTTTTACGTATGGGAAGGAAAGAACACGAGAGAAGAACAAAATGAATAATTCTAAAATGTGAGGGTGAGGGTGTTTGACAAATAATGATAAATCGAAGGAGAAGAAATTAAAGCGGAAAAGTTTAAAGAGAAAAAGGAAAAACTTACCCAATTTAATGAAAATTGGTTTTTTTTGATTTTTTGATTTTTTTGCGTACTAAGAGAAGTACAGTAGATGAAATAAAGCACAAAGGGTTGAAAGAGAATGGAAATGATACGGACGTAATAAATGCTTGATTAAATAATAAACTGGTTTTT